GGGGCATTCAATGTTCCGGTTCGCGTGGGGGGGTGTACATAGGAATTAGACTAGCTGGAAACCCCTGCCTCGTTCAAAAAATCGGTTCCGTCGCAGCCTTCCGACAACTCTTTGCAGCATGTCACGGGAGCAGCCGGCGACGTGTTGGCCCAAACAACCGGTAAGTACAGATCAATGCATCGTGGAGGTGCCCTCCGTGACTGCTGTTCGTTCTTTTTTTGCGTGGTCAGAGAGTTTCGTGGCGATGTTGCTCTGCTGTGAGTTCTGCACGCCTGGATTCGGCAGGAAACAGGAACCCCACTAAGCGCGCTTAGCCTCTACTGCAGCCCACACACTGCAACCTTGACATATAGGCGCGTGTATGCGTTCAGTATGAGTGTAGGCATCCGTCAAGGATGGCGGGATGCGCATGTGGGGGAACTGGAGGTCTTTCGTGTGTCCCCGAAAATAGGTCTCCCGAACCGCCCGCAAACCGTTACACGAGTGCACAAGGCCCAACTACAACTCGGACCACACATATCGCGCACTGCCTCCAGCAGTGAAGGGCAGCAGTCCTATGTCGACCCAGTCTCACAGCCGAGTTTCACGGCGTAACTGCTTGAAATGGTGAAATGCTTGTGGTGTCAAAAATGACCCGCACAGCACGTGGGTTTCCACTGTATGTACTGGCGTTTTTCTCTCTGTTTAGTCGAGTTCATTTTTATGGTAACGGCACCAATCACTAGCACTAAGTGAGAGCTTTCCTACGATACCTTCATCGGTCAAGGTTGATGCCAAATACGAAAGTTACGGCGTTTTTCGTACTGCCCCTGCGACGAGCCCCACAAAGCCGCTACTAATAGGGATTTAGTATAGGCGTGCGAACAATTTCAGCGGTGTGCCGCATGAGACGGTGAGAGTGCCATACACACCACTCACCTGATCACGTCGGAAGCATGCCCACGGGAAGGGCAAACGTTCGTAACGGTCATATTTACTGCCGTTAGGACCCCTGATGACACCGCCCCGATGGCCCCGCCTCGTCTTGTGTGTGTGCGCTGTATTTTCCGACGCTTCTTGCACAGTCATGTCGCAGGACGGCCGTCTGCTCTGCGTCTCAGAATTGCGCGAGGGGCTGGGCCGAATAAGAAAGACCCCTGACAGTTGGCTGAGGGTTCGAAGGGTAGAGAGTTTGCTTGGTTGGCGGCCCGGTGCGATCACGTCCTTCCATGCGTCCATCCCTCCTCCGCCTCAAAGCGGAACGGAGGCAAGGCGCTCGCGCCGAACACTATTCTCTGACTTAGAGCGCAGCCTCGAAAACGAAGGCATATTCTTTCACAGAGATTTTGTCGCCGTGACCGAACCTCAGGGTCCGCGTCCTCCGTGCGCATATCGGCTCAGGGAGGTAGCCGAACCGCAGTTAGATCTGTCACGAGAGAATAACGAGCCCACCCCCCCCTCGATGTTTGCCATCGGGGTTGGGTTTTCGTCGCTTGGCAACGACGTTGTAAAACAAGCCACTTCACTTCGTGAACTCGGCAACCAGGTTACCGTTAATTTTTTTACCTGCGTTTTTTTTTTTGGCGGTAACCATAGTGGTGGTCGAGTAGATCATGTTTTGCGGGGTCGAGAACCCTCACTCCGCGCAAGGGGGATGATCGCACCACGTTGTGTTAAAATGGTCACGCACCCTCGAGGTAGTTACACAATGCTTACAATTGCCTCAGGAAGTGAACGCACCAGAAAATAAATTAAGTCATACGCAGCTGTCNTAATTTTTTTACCTGCGTTTTTTTTTTTGGCGGTAACCATAGTGGTGGTCGAGTAGATCATGTTGTGCGGGGTGGAGAACCCTCACTCCGCGCAAGGGGGATGATCGCACCACGTTGTGT